GGGGACTCACTGACCCAAGGTAAGTAAGTATGTATGCATCTCGGACAGGTCACAGGTCCGCCTATTGCGTTGGACAGCGTAACCCTACAGTACTGTACAGTACAGGAGAAGTTTCCTTTCCAGTAAAACAATGCGTAGGAATTATCATAACTCATAAAGCATGCCACAAAACTGACTCTTGACAATCCCCAATCTTTGGATGGGAACCCAATCGGCTGGTAGACGGCCAATTTGCGTAGCATTTCAGACCACCAAACACGTCGGGTGAGCTGCTACCGACCCGATATGAGATGCCATCATGAGAAAAATTGAAAGAAGGACATTCTCGTAAAATTGAGGCTAGGGTAAAAGTATCATGATATCAGTCCTTGAGGTGTTCTAACATCAGATGTTAGTTGGATCAGCCACAGACGATACATGACGGAGGGATACGGGTACTTGGTTTTAGCCTATGACTCGGGTGAATTTACAAGTACAGACTGACTAAGCCCGTGTACCTCCGGCACCTGCACCCGTCTAAACCGCAAGTGGGTCTCCACCAGCGGCCGGGTCCTCCCACTGATTGATTCTTCCTCTCCTCTCCCAACATCCTCCTCCTCCTCATCATCATGGATGGCCATGATCCATTAATTATTACACCCCTGTCAACTCTCTTCTTTTCCCCCCTGGGGCCCCAATCAAAGCTCCCCATTCTCCAGCTTCGTCCCCTGCCCGTCAGATGTCAAGCATGTCCTGCGTGGCCATCTATGACCTGGAAAATCAAGTAGCTTGCCTATTGATTATGCTAATGATAGTCAGAAAACGACTGTCGACGTGAAATAAGGCCCGACTAGCTAACATGCCACATTCTGAGCCTTCTGGCTCTGGGCGCTGTCTTTTTCAACTTGCATGCTAACCTTGCTAAGTGAGCCCTGGGCCTGCTCTCGATTTATCCCTGCGAATCAACGGTTACGATTCGATTCGATTCGGTATTGTACAGTACGCTGCTATGCTATGCTATGCTATGCTAGAAACTCCCTCGTTGGCTCTGCCAAGCCCATCAGCACTTTGAGCAATTTGACTCTGCGATTGACTTTGGTAGTGATTACGATTACAATCCTCAGAACCTCTCACAGCGCGACTTCGGTAACACAAGGGGAATATACCTACAGCGGGAGGTGGCGCTAGCAATGCAATGCCCTTCCCGTTTTGGTGGCAGCAAAAAGCACTAACACTACCTACATATCGAGATACATGCAAAGATACATCAGACCACTTTTTGCAACGACCATCAACATCCATCGTCACCATCCGAAGCTCCAGAACGTGTCAAAGCTATCCACCTTTGACTCGTTCTTGGCTGATATCTATCAACAAGAAACAAGAGCTAAAGAGCTAGCCAACCTTACTTGGGTACCTATACCGTTCTCCCCTTCTGTGCCGCCGGCGAAGGACGAGATATCGATGTGCTCCAGGCAGACCACTTCGCTGCCCATCCCATCCCGTCCCATTCCACTGTCTATCCTGTCTTGTCCGGTCCGTCTTTCTTGCTCTCTTCCGCTCCTTATGCCTCTTCTGAATAGGCAGGGTAGGTTAGGCAATTGGGAACGTCCCCCACGCACGCCACTATCTTGCCCATCGCTCATCTCATTACCCATCTTGTGTCTGAACTTTGAGCCGCCCAGCCCAGCAACCTCCCAACTACGGCACTACGTGCCATCCAATCCGTGACAGTGGTAGTCTACACCCACGCCCTCGCCCTCGCTCTCGCCCTCAGCCGTGCAGAAAAACCTATCCCATCTCCCTCGTACTCCAATTGGATCACCATCCTGCTGTAACCTCTGCTGATCTCCTCAACGGCCGTCTACCCATACGTAGTAGCTCCATGGGCCATGGGTTTACGTTACCCTACCCAATCTGCGGCAAAGACTTCAAACTAAGCCTGGTATAGTATGTACATACATGTCGTAGCAGGTAGCAGGTAGGAATAGCATAGCCTTTCCCTTCGGCGTTCTCTCACCGCACTCCCCGTTATGCTCTATACCTACCTCTCTTCTCCTCTTTCCTTGGCAACCCTTTCAGCTTTCTCATATAAGAAGTCTTGGAAGCTCTGCGTATAGAGTTCTCTCCTTTGTTCTTTTCTTCTCATCTCTCATCCCAAGAGTTCAACCTCACTTACAACTCTTACAAACTCATCACTTACATACATATATCCTAATCACCATACCCCCCCAATGACTGAGGAAGTCAAATCTATCTCGCCCTTCGGCATTGCCCGCTCAACTGTCAAGGGCGAGCCTCTCTCCAAGGAGGAGATCCAGCAGTACAATGACTTCTTCAAGGCCAGCTGCTATCTCTCCTTGGGTATGATCTACCTCAAGGAGAATCCTCTTCTTCGAGAACCCCTCAAAGCCGATCACCTCAAGCTTCGATTGCTTGGTCACTTTGGCTCTGCCCCCGGCCAAATCTTCACATATATGCACTTTAACCGTCTGATCAAGAAGCACGATCTTGACGCTCTCTTCATCTCTGGTCCCGGACACGGTGCCCCCGCTGTCCTGTCCCAGTCCTATCTGGAGGGTGTCTACACTGAGGTGTACCCTGACAAGACTCAAGATGCTGAGGGTATGCAAAAGTTCTTCAAGAGCTTTTCGTTCCCAGGTGGAATTGGCTCTCACGCTACTCCCGAAACCCCTGGATCTCTCCACGAGGGTGGTGAGCTGGGTTACTCCATCTCACATGCCTTTGGTGTTGTCTTCGATAACCCCAACTTGATTGCTCTTACTATGGTCGGTGATGGTGAGGCCGAGACTGGGCCCCTGGCTACCGCCTGGCACAGCAACAAGTTCCTTAACCCAATTGTTGACGGTGCTGTCCTCCCTGTTCTTCACCTCAACGGTTACAAGATCAACAACCCCACAGTCCTTGCTCGAATCTCACACCGAGAACTCGAATGCCTCTTCATCGGTTATGGCTGGCAGCCATACTTTGTTGAGGGTGACGATGTTGAGACTATGCACCAAGCTATGGCTGCTACTCTCGAGCACTGCGTGGACGAGATCCGAAAGATCCAGAAGGAAGCTCGTGAGTCCGGCGAGGCCAAGCGACCTCTGTGGCCCATGATCGTTCTCCGAAGTCCCAAGGGCTGGACTGCCCCTCGCAAGGTTGACGACAACTACCTCGAGGGTTACTGGCGAGCTCACCAGGTCCCCATCTCAGACCCCGCCACAAACCCTGCTCATCTCAAGGTCCTTGAGGATTGGATGCGGAGCTACGAGCCCGATCGTCTATTTGACGAGTCTGGCGCGCCTATTGCCTCTCTCCGTGCTCTGGTGCCCGAAGGTAACCGACGAATGAGCGCGAACCCCGTTGCCAACGGTGGTGCACTTAGGAAGCCGCTGAGAATGCCCAACTTCAAAGACTACGCCATCAAGGTTGACAGTCCCGGAAACGTCATGAACGCCAGCATGACCAACATGGCTGTCTTCCTCAAGGATGTCATTGCTGAGAACCAGACAAACTTCCGTCTCTTTGGTCCTGATGAGACTGAATCTAACAAGCTTGGCGGTGTCTACGCTGCCGGAAAGAAGGTCTGGATGGGCGAGTACTTTGAGGAGGATGAAAATGGTGGTAACCTTGCCAAGGCTGGCCGTGTCGTTGAGATGCTTTCTGAGCATAACTGTGAAGGCTGGCTCGAGGGTTACCTCCTCAGCGGTCGCCACGGTCTTCTCAACAGTTACGAGCCTTTCATCCACGTTATCGACTCTATGGTCAACCAGGTATGTTACATGATTTGTCCTAATGTTACTCTTACTGACCATTCCTATAGCACTGCAAGTGGATCGAGAAGTGTCTCGAGGTTGAGTGGCGAGCCAAGGTTGCCTCTCTCAACATCCTCTTGACTGCCGTTGTCTGGCGTCAAGATCACAACGGTTTCACTCACCAAGATCCCGGTTTCCTCGACGTTGTCGCCAACAAGAGCCCCGAGGTTGTCCGCATCTACCTTCCTCCTGATGGCAACTGTCTGCTTTCTGGTATGTCTAACTCGTGATCTTAGCCTGATCTTGACTAACTTGCCATAGTCATGGACCACTGTCTCCGATCAGTCAACTACGTCAACGTTGTTGTTTCTGATAAGCAGGAGCATCTTCAGTACCTCTCCATGGACGCTGCCATCGAGCACTGCACCAAGGGTATCGGTATCTGGCCTCAGTTCTCCACCGATGCTGGACAGGATCCCGACCTGGTCATGGCCTCTTGCGGTGATATCAGCACACACGAGTCTTTGGCCGCCATTGATCTCCTGCTCGAGCACTTCCCTGAGCTCAAGATTCGATGCGTCAACGTTGTCGATCTCTTTAAGCTGATCCACCCCAGCGACCACCCTCACGGTCTCCCCGATACTGAGTGGACCAGCCTCTTCACTGATGACACACCTGTCATCTTCAACTTCCACAGCTACCCCTGGATGGTGCACCGCCTGACATACAAGCGTCCCGGTAGCCGCAACCTCCACGTTCGCGGTTACAAGGAGAAGGGCAACATCGATACACCTCTCGAGCTTGCTATTCGCAACCAGACTGATCGATTCAGTTTGGCCATCGATGCTATCGACCGCATGCCTCAACTCCACAACCGGGGCGCCTCGGCCCGCCAGGCTCTCCTCAATGCACAGATCCAGGCCCGCAACGAGGCCTTTGAGACGGGCATGGACCCTCCATTCCTCAAGAACTGGACCTGGAAGCGCAATGGCCTTTGGAAGAAGGTTGCCGACGGCCTTGTCTCTCGATAGACGGATATAGAAACATTTTACAGGTCGAGGAGAATCGGATGCAGCCCATCGCTGGATATCCCTTCACGGCACCAAAGATTTCTAGACGGAAACGAATAGATGAAATAAATTAAACAAAAATAAGACGGTGGGCGTTGCTGGATGGTCGGTTGTCATGTTAACAAGATGTTATGGCTTTCCTATTTCTTCTCATCTCTTTACGAATTTCTATAGTTATGCCACGAAACACTCAATTCTGAACTGCCTCTCTCTTCATATGATACTGCGTCATGCCCAGATCAGGGAACTCACTCGTTCCAGCGACCTTGAACCCAAACTTCTCATACAAGCCCCTTCCTTCGCCAGAGCTATTTAGATAAGACATCCAACCTTCTCGGTCGGCTCTCTCAACACCGAACCTCATGAGCGCAGATCCTACGCCCCGTCGCTGTGCTTCTTTTGCAGTGGCAATCGTGCTTAGGAACCAATGCCTCTCACCAGCGACGTGTTTGAAAGTCTCATCAGCATTTCTCTGGAAGAAATCCGCCGCGGTCGCTTGGTCTCCCGAAGCAGGAAACGTAGAAGGGTCGACCTGCTTCGCCGACAATGGTGGGTTTTCTCTACGAGCCCAGCGCGCCCAGCCGAGGATTTTAGAATCGTCCTCTGCGACGAGCATGAAATTGTCATCCTTGTCATCGATGTTGGTTTGGAGAAATGAAGCTTGGAAGGCTTGGACATCAGGAGATGATGGGGGGAAGCAACGCTTGTTTAGAGGCGAGGAAGAGAATGCGGAGAAGAAGACGGCGAGCATTTGGGGGATGTCTTCAGGCGTTGCTGGGCGGATTGTTATAGGTGACATGACTGCGGTTGGTGAAAGGTTGAAGTTGTGATTTAGGTAGAATGAAGAGAACGTCAGTATAAGTTCTTGGGCCAATGGGGTGAGTCACGCCGATAAAACAAGAACATGTGTTGAGACATCAACCGGTCAGCCACAAGCACTGATACAGAGATCACTTTTGATACTATAACCAACACAACAGAAAACTAAGCCAGCACGAGAGTGTAAGTTGGCAAATTGACTAGCCTTTGTCTAATTCACTACTACAAGTATTGGTCAACTCAATCATAGCTTGTGATTCGCCAGACAACTAAAGAGTGGCGACTATACTCTCCAACTAGGTCAGGTTCATGACTAATTCAAACGCTCTCGTAGTATTCCCATGATTAATTCCGACTTCCTGAACGCCCCGTTGCCAAACCGACCCATCGCCGTGCTATATCGCTCTAACCAAGATGACTGCTTTTACAGCTACAGAGCCTTGACTGACTGAAAGAAGGGGTTTGCCTGCAGCTCAGCATTTGCCCCGACAAGCTCTTTCAAAGCAGCGACTTGCTCCTCGCGGCTCATATTCCCTGCCTTGACCTTATCCTTCCACTCCACCAAGACTCGCTTGAGCATGGCACTACCCGTCTCAACATCTTGCTTGCTGTACTGCAGTGCTAAATCCTCGTGCTTGGTGGTGAAGTCCTCAAGCTCGTCTGCCTTGCGTTTGGCCATACGGACAACCTTGTCCGGGAAGCGGACCAGCTCAGCGACGTGGATGCCGAAACTCTGGTCACACACACCTGGTGCGACCTTGTACAGCAACGTCACTTCGCGCTTCGCATCCGCTTCTGAAGCCGCTGCTGCGCTAGTGCCGCCGATGTGCGCCGTGACATGGAGGTTCTGTACTTGGGGGTACTGGTCGGCGAGAGCTGTGAGTTCGTGGAAGTGAGTGGCAAACATGGCAGAGCAGCCAATCTCCTTTACAATGTGCTCTGAGATGGCCCATGCAAGACCGAATCCGTCATACGTCGATGTGCCACGTCCAAGTTCGTCAATAATGATCAAGGACTCTGCTGTAGCTGACTTGAGGATATTGGCAGTTTCAAGCATCTCGGCCATGAAGGTCGAGACACCCTTGAGCTGCGAATCGCTAGCACCTACACGTGCCAAAATGGAGTCATAAATGGTCAACTCGGCTTCTGCACAAGGTACGAAACACCCGACCTGCGCCATAAGTGCTATGACACCCGTTTGTCGGATGTAGGTTGACTTACCGCCCATATTGGGGCCGGTAATGATGAGGAAAGACGACTTATCCCGAGTAAGCTCGATATCGTTTGTGATAAACTGAACATCGTCCTGGAGTTCCATGCAAGGATGACGGGCTTCGCGAAGTATCGTCTGGCCCTCTCCACGAGCGTGGATCTTGGGTCGGACATACGACTCAGGGGCATGGACTGCGGCGTGGGATAGGGAAACGATTACGTCAAGGTGGGCAAGAACGCCAGCTAGGCGCTCTAGAACTGGGCAGTAGGAGGAAGCAACTTGGACAACTTCGTGGACAAGACTGCTTTGTGTTCTGTTGTAGTTCTGAGATAGCTGATCATACTCGCGACGATAAGCTTGCAACTTCTTGGTGGTGAAATAAACACCATTCTTTTGTGTCGAGCACTCTTGGTACTTGGAGTTGTTTCGAATGCAGCCAGCCTCTTGTCGTGTGAGACGCATGCAAACTCCGTGTACCTTGTGGCTGGTCTCAAGGAAGATCTTCTTGTCGGCATCTTGACCTAGGTCTTTAGCCGAGGCCATAAACTCGGCACGAATATCCTTGTCGAGCTGATCAAGTTTCTTTCGGATGATACGCAAGCTTTTGTCGAAATCGGCTTTAATGATGTACTCGTGTCGATCAAGAGCGTCGAGATCAACGGTTTGCTCCACCATGTCCTGCAACTTGCCCAGGCTATCAGAAAGGTCACGGAGCTTGATAGTGTATGCCTCGTCGAGGGGGTCTTTGTAATTCTCATCCATGACACCTTCAAATGTGCCAATAAAGCCAGGTAGACGGATGACAACCTGATATGCGCGGACGACGTCCTCCAGGTTAGCCTTGCCTCGCTGGAAGCGCTTTGAAAGTCTGTAAAGGTCAGGGATGGATCGAAGGTGTTCCTCCTGGAGTGTCTGTCGAAGTTCAGTATCAACATAGAAAGCTTCTACCAACTGCTGACGCTTCTCAATCTCCGTCTTGCTCATCAAAGGCTGCTTCAACCACTGTGCCAGGAGTCGACTACCAACTGGTGTCTTGCAGTGGTTGAGTACACCAAAGATGCTCATCGTTTTGGATCCATCTCGAGGACCTGGCATAAGGTTAAGGGCCTTTAGAGCAGCAGCATCTAGTTTCATGAAGTGTGCCAGGTCGTGTTGATATAGCTGATATTGGCCAAAGTTGGAAGGATCCTGCAGAACGCCGAGATACTTGATCAGAGATGCAGCAGATCCCATGGCCAGCTTCAGATCAGTTTGTGGGAGCAGAGAAGCCGATCGCTCATCCTTGAGCAGACGTGCCAGGTCTTGTTCAATATCACGGGTACCAAAGTCGCCAGCTGGTCTCTCTGCGATAGCCACACCGCAATTATCGATAATCTTCTTCAGCTTGGACAATTCGGGGTCCTTCTCCTTTTCACCCTTGTCGATCTGTATCAAGCATTCACGGACACCGAGCTGGATAAGCAGTGCCTCAAAGTTGGAGTAGAGGTCGTTGTCGAGAAATTCGCTTACACCGAGCTCGCGGACGCTGGCATCGGCGAAGCAAACGCCGACATTCCGAGCTTCGGAGGCCTTTGTGGAGATTTTGACGGCGAGAATCATAGGCGCAGACTCAATCTGGCCTCCCAGGTCGTCCTCAACATCTTGTAAGTTACCTGGCGAAGCTTGCTTGATACACTGCCAGTTCATGCGGCCGGAAGGGCTTTGCCAAATCTCTATTCGCTTTCCCAATTTGAGTAGGGCTTCTCGAAGGAACTGTCGGAATACGGTCATGGTCATGGTGACTGAGGGTAGTCCGGAGCTGTCATTTCGGCCGAGTTGTCGTACAACTGAAGTTGTCTTGTAGACCTGTGGCATGGTGTTAGCAGTGCTTAGAATGGCATCACAGAAGTGGCATACAGTTTTGGCGATATATGTGGCATCTCGACCATGTGAAGTATACCAGTCTCCTCGGTCAAAGATGCGGATTGTGTCTTCGTTAACAGCTGGCAATGATTTGTAGAAGCGAATGAAGCCGCCCTCGTCATCGAGCTGGACAGATAGAATTAGTTGGGTGTATTTCGAGGTAATTGTTTCTGGATGTGTACCTTTAGTTCTGGTCGTGAAGCCATAATGAGTCGATTGTCTTGTGAACTCCTAATACAAAGTCAATCAACGTAAGGGTCGAGCTCGTCTTGGTAAAAGAGCCTGAGAGACGTTGTACTTGTCGCGTCACTAGCTCCCGCATTGGCCGGGAGACGCGTTTTTGTGGGGTCTCAATCAAAGTGGTGACGCGAAACCAGGTCTCTGCATAAACCAATTCGTGCATAATTCTTGCATAAACGCATACGCATATATGCCTTCAACCATTCTGGCGGATAGTGGTTCGTGATTGGCCAATTGAGAAAAAGCCAGCGGGCACCAGTGATTGTGCCTCTATTGGGAAGGTAGAAGTGCCCTCTTACATCTCTGTTTCTTCACGTATCAAACCATGACAGAAATCAGTGCATCTCTATTGGCATCGCACGATTTATCGTTAAATACGTAGTCTCCTTTCGAGACGCGTCAAATGTTCAACAGCAGCTAGCTCAGGGACCCTTGACATGGCTAAGCTGCCACCATGCCAGCAGAAGACAGCTTCAGCTCAACAAAGGCATGGCAGACGCGGCAGACTGCAAATGTCTCGAGACCAGGAATTATAATCCGAGACATATCTTCAGACTATCGATCCTCACATAGTGATATCCAATCAGAGGCACACTATCAAAAAGTTCAGTTGCCATGATAGACTTTCAGTCAGCCACAACTCTACTGGGTAAGTTAGCTGGGACAGGTCGAGATCTCATTTGACTAGCGTCAGCCGGCCCGTGTCGTTGCTTTGAGACTTCTTATCACGAACATGGTAAGGGTGTGAATCTTGGGCCGTGGGGGCTTGGGAATCACTGCCTATCGTACCGTACATGATCATTTCTCGTTTTGTGGCGAGCGACTATTGAGAAGAACTATCTGTGATGTGTGCTGACGAATCGCTAGTTCCTGCACCGAGACTCACTGCGAGGTTATGAGTTGAGTGAAAGACAATGAGATTGTATTCGCAATGCTCGTACGGAGTATTGGGCCAAGTCATGGACGAACTTAATGCTTCTTCTCCAAGTGGAAGCTGGAAAATAGAGTCATTTTTAACCTTGTTTTTAACTTTTGCCAAGTGGGTATTTGTCGGATTTTACTGCAAAGGAGCCGCAAACTAAATCTGCAAAGTGAAGCTAATTCTTTACACAGATGAAAATGACCAAGGCATTGTCAGTCAACACGTGCCGTCAAGAACAAGTTGTGCTTGAATATTCCATGTCTTGGCGACAAGGATTAAAACGCTCGACATTGACCATCCGGGTTCTCACTAGAGGCCCAAAGTGGAAATCTACCGATTCATAGTGGACACAGACGCAGACACCTCGAGGCCATCAAGGTCCTCAAGGTTCTTACAGCCAATCCCACTATTTTCTCTATCATGGCTGCGATTATTGGCTTCTCGATGGCGCCTGGAGGAGACGACTTTCTCTGGGTCTGGGTAAGATGGAGGCTGAGACATTAACTTTTGCTCTCCCTCTTTGTTTCTGTGCGCTTTGATTAAGGGTTTACATACATTGGAATACATATCAAGTTTCTTCACTGCTACCTTACCCAGTGTCTTAAAGTCTTCCTCCTCAAGCAACCCTTTTGGACAGTTTCAAGTCCCCCTCCTCCTCCTCGTAACTGACTCGAAACGAACTCTGAACTCTGAACTCTGAACT